TACAGGATAGGCAGGCATCTGAGAGTTGGTTGGATATGGGGCCTGAGAGCTTTGAGAATAAGCAGCAGGGCTTGGACTGCCGCCGTTAGAGCCATATCCCTGATACTGCCCAGTGCTGTAGGTTGGAGAGGCATAAGCCGAAGACTGAGAGTGAGAGCCAGCGACGGCAAACGACGACGGACTGGTGGGCATATGGTACGAGGCGTTTCTTGTTGGAGACTGCGTCGGATACGGCACGCCTGGGGACTGAGGCGGGAAGGACGGCGACGTCTGCCCAGCGCCAGCACCATAAGATTGGTCATGGCCGCTGCTGCTGCTATGGCCGTGATAGGTAGGATATCGCTGCGGCGCCGCAGAAGCATAGGCGGCGGGGTTGTATGTCTGAGGGGCAGCGGCGTAGTTGTTCGGCGAGGGGCTGCTGTAAGCGTTGTTTGAGCTGATCGGAGTCGCATTGTATCGTGTCGACATGGTCTGCTGGTGGACGTAGGGCACATTGGTCGACTGCGACCGGTGGAAGTTGGAGGGCGGCGCAAACGACTGGGGGTTGTACGCAGCGTGCGAGGGCGTCGGCGGCGGCTGCTCTTGTTGGTACTGGTGGGCGTAACCAGACATTGCGGTGTTGCTGGACGCCGGGCGGGCGGGCGGGTAGTTTGGCTGGGTCGATATGAAGAGCTCGTCGTCGCCAACGCTGGCTGACGGGCGATGTGCGTGTGTCAAGGCGCCGCTGTACTGGTCTTGCGGATGGCCCTCGTAGTAGGTGCCGTCGTCGCCGTGGTTGAAGCTCGCCTGGCGGGCCATGTTGGAGTGCTCGGCGGGCTGCTGGCCAGCGACTGGATACTGGACGGGCGGGACGTGTCCGTACCGGCGTCCTTCGTTGTTTCGAAAGGACATGCTTGGTGGTGAGGTGGCCGGCGGAAACGAGTCAGCGGCTAGCGACGACTCGAGAGACTGGTATGCAGCAGCTGACGCCTTTTTGCTGGCAGGTGGGCTGTCTGAGACGAGCCTCACGGGACAACTTTATCGCGATAACGGTGTTCAGCGAGCGAAGGAGGCCCGAGTCGCATTGGGCGGCATCAAATAGACGAAAGACAATGGGCTCATCGACCGCTAGGCTGCTTGGAGTCGAAGGTCGAAGGCTTAGCTCCTGCGCGTGTGCTTGGCCGAAGAAAATCCCCTCCGTTGTGCCCGAAAGGCTGACAGGACAGCTTCACAGTGGAGTTTGCCTGGAGGCCAGGACGAGCGCCGAGCGGGCGGGTTCTCACTGTATGAGTTGAGGCCTCTCGCAGTAAACGCTCCAAGTCCAGACTTGCATCCGAAGCACGGCGCAGGTCAGAAAACAAAGTCAAGTCGAAATAAAAATAGGTCTAAACAAGACACGCAGCACAAACAAGGAACCCGTTCGACGCCAGTCAGCCGTTCAGCGGGAGATGGAGCTTCGATCAAGCCTCAAAAATGAGGAGGCTTACGCCCATGCGTATCTGTCCGTCGAGGTCACTTCACTTTGGCTGCGCGTGCGTGTGTGCGCTGGAAATTAGGTGCCAATAAGCCCAAAGAGGCGCTGGGGGAGGCGCTGGCGGGGCTACGGATCCAGGGCCTGAAACCCAGTGGCAGTGAGAACTGAGAAGCCACTGCGTCTTGCTGCTGTCAAAGAGCGCCAGCGATCTCTTGCCACCGCATTTAGGACCTGGAGGTCCAGTGTCTGCCAGCGCAAAGCATCAAATCAGATGTGCCTATTTCAGAATGGGCGGAAAGAGATTGAGGGGAGCACTAGGCCGCGTATGAACTGTGAGCGGTCCCTGAAAAAAGATTTGATCCATTTGATCCCATGGAAGCCAAGCACCGAGGACATCAAAACATTTGATGAACCTAAAGCAAAACTGCGCTAGCCTTGAGCTGCCATCATAGCCGGCAATCTCACATCTGCAGATCTACTGAAATGAGGCATCGCTTACTACACGTTCCTTGAGCGCATATAAGGAGGGAATGAGAAAGAGATTGAAGAGCCATCGCGCACAGCCTCGCCGTCGCCGAATATCACCGGATGAGGTCACACCGGCGGCAGTGGCTCGTGGAGAGCGCACAAGTACCTATTGGACATACCTTAGATACGAAGATGCCGGCCCTAACCTCGGTCGCCGTACTTGGCCGTCTCAGTGACTTGCACGTTTCTGGTGTCCTTTGGTGTTTTCACGGAGTAATTGGTACTGTGCTTCGTACTCTTTACTCGTATATACGAGGGGCTGATGAGGATCAGCGCGGCTCTCGTCTGTATACACGGAAGTAGGCCGCATGGAGCAGGGCAGTGTTGAGTACACCAGTTGCCAAATTGCCAGCTTCAGGTTGGCTGGAAATGGGTTCTGTGGGTGTGCCTCGTTGAGCTCCAAACAGGGTCAGCAAGCAATAGGGCAAAAGCCTCCCTCCCTCTTTAATCAATTAACATGGCGCCGAAACTTGGTTGAAACCGCAAACCACGCCATTGCAGGGGCCATGAGCTCTTAGGAGGGGTGCAGAGGCAATACGAGGATGCTACCGGATGGGGATGGAAACTATCCAAGACGCCAAGAAGGGGGCTAGCAGTTAATCTGAACGTGAAAATTGTTCTTCTGCTTCTAAACGGAGATGTGAACTTATAACCCACTACTGATGAGTTTTACTTTTTCCCTACTTTCTAGTTGCCCCCCCTGTATGTGATGAAAGTGAAGCTCATGGAAACGCTTCAAGACTCCTCCTTGGGCACATTGCAACACCGTTGTGCAACCACCACTACCGCATTCGCCACCGACGCCTCATCTTGGATAGAGCGATAGGCAGACAGCACAATTTAGGCCCTGCGAATCAAAGGTAGCGTGCACAGAGCCTGCTTAAATCATACCCGACCCTATGGTCGACCTCAACCATTATGGCCGAGTTTTGGTGAGACACCAATTACATCGGTGAGCTTTTGTGTTACCTTGGGCCGCCATAAGCGTGCTTCCTAGACCATGCTATTGGAAATCAAGGTGATTCTCATCTGCATAATCTATCACTTGTAGCGTGGGTTTTGCCAGACTGTATATCAGAATTCTCTGGGTAGGATAATGTACCGTAGGAAAGCTTGCTGGGGTGCATTGTCCCTAGCCCCACCCGGTCGGCTCCGTGCCGAAATTCGCTACCGGCGCGCCGTATATGTCGAGCAGCCGGCAGAAGGGGATATTACATGAGTAAAGAGATGTAAATGATTTGGTTGATGAATGTACTGAGATTTTTTTTTTTATATATTTAGAATTCAACTTAATCGGCTATGAAGTCTTCCGATCGAGGCAGCGCCTGCTGATATCAGCTTACAAGCGTGAAAAGTCTGGGCGGTTCCGGATGCCGATTCCCCTTCTTCTCTAATATTAGACTGCAATCGATTTACTGAACCAACCGTCTACCCATCTCGGATCGGCAGGCCCATGTTGCTTCCCATATATGCTAAATGCTAAATTTAACAGATGGGCACGCAGGAGACTATGATGGCTCTAAACGGAAACGGAATGATAGTCGGCACCAGGCGTTTAGTATCAAGAAGTTGGCAAACAGAGGCACTATATTCTGGTAATCATATCACCGCATCGTAGCAAGCGATAGTAATTCTACAACTTGTCAATATATTTGTGAGATTTCTACATGCAATTACGTCAACATATTACTTGACTATACTGCCCTTGCCGGTTTATACGTTAGTGAATGCCACGAATCGCTCAAGTTTCAGCGGCATCCCATAGACTCAGGTTACATGTATCTAAGCTATCCTGTCTCGCGGAAGTGATCCAATAGCTGGGCGATCAATCTTATAAAGGATTGGGCTCTTATTGTGAGCCTAACATAATCTTTAATTTTTCGTCTCCAAGATTGTTGGGTGGAAGTACAAGTTAAAAAGGCATCTACAACTGTAATACTCACTGTATAGCCACCCATTTGATCGTAGTACGGTATTTAATTTTTTTGAGACTATGTATTGGAACAAGACATTTTACCCAAGCAATGTGGTCGGATCGTACACTCATCGACCTTGGGATAGGGCCCAGCATCAATGTTAAGCATATATACCATTATCCCATAGATGAGTGAATAACGTGTTACCCACTGATCTCGAGGGCTTTCCTTGTTAACCAGCGTAATTCAAGATACACAGATGTCCAAGTCAACGTAAATAGTTATACAGATGATGAGCCGTTGACCTCAACGGTGTCGCAGAGTATTGCCGCCCAAAACAAGTACCGTAATGTGCAACATTGGCTGTTGTTACTCAAAGATTGGTTGGTTAGAGAGGGCAATCATGTTTACATCAACATCAACATCAACATCAACATCAACATTATTCGCCTCTTACAAGAAGGCAGCCTTAGTCATACACCTTCTCTCCCACCAATCACGGCGATGGAAGCTGCCAGAGGGGCAATAGCTCTGCTGCTGATTCGCAGCTCTGGGAGACCAGTCCTCTCAACGAAAGCTCTTCTATCGGCATCCAGCCTCGGCTTATAATGCACATTGGCCGCAGTAGCGATTGCGGAATTGCTTCGCTTTGTTGTCATTTGTCAGCCATCAATGCCTAGCGCTGCGGGCTTCGAGTGACATTAGAGGTCGCCTTTCCGCAAGTCAGGATGACGACAATGACGCTGCGGGGCAAAATGGAGCTGCCCAGAGCTCCCACGAAGACCTCTCCCCTCACCAAGCTTAATCATGGTACGGAATGTAGCTAGGCCTAGTACCACCTGGGTGCAGAATATCCATTGCATGAAGCCTGCTGGAGAGTTATTGGTTCGGTAGGCTGCTGGGCAGAAGGCACATCGATAGCAAAACCCCACCCTTGAAACGAGCTGCGTTCGTAACTCCGGAGCAGCGAACGGCTCTGATTCTCTTTTAGCTGGCCCGAGCCTCTCCAAACTCTGTCCTCTCCACCTCTTCATCATCGTCATTTTCTCGCCGTCTTCTTTTTTTTCTCGTGCAAAAACAATTGTAAAAATCCAACCGCCAAAATGGTCAAGGCTGGTAAGGCACCACTAGATCCCCAGACAACAGCTCCCAAAAGCAGCGCCATGCTCGACTTTATATAGTCGTCGCTGGTCCCAGCCGAGGGGGCGGCCATGCTGTGCTCATCCCGAGCTGGTTTGAGGGGGTTTCCCTCTTTATCTGCTCAAACGGCTTCCTTGGACCAGCGGGCCGCGCCGCAACCTTGATAGACAAGACCATCTGGCCCTGCTTCTTCTTCCCATTGGAAGATGTTGCCGACGCAAGCGTGTCCCTTGATGGCCGCGGCGCGATCGCATCGCAGCCCGACGAATTGTGTAGAGACCATCTTCTAACGGGCGATCTACAGTTACTATCCTCCGAGGAGACGCAAAGGTCTCCGGCACCGTCATCTTCGAGCAGGACTCGGAGGGTGCCCCTACCACCATCACCTACGACATCACCGGCAATGACGCCAACGCCAAGCGTGGCTTCCACATCCACACCTTTGGCGACAACACCAACGGCTGCACCTCTGCCGGCCCTCACTGTGAGTTGATCTGATACGCTGGAGTGTTGGGCGGAAAAAAAAGTTGCTCTTTGCTTACCAAGTTGCTCGGCAGTCAACCCCTTCAACAAGACTCACGGCTCTCCCTCTGATGAGGCCCGTCACGTTGGTGACCTCGGCAACATCGAGACTGATGCTCAGGGCAATGCCAAGGGCACCATCACCGACAAGCTTGTCCAGCTGATCGGCCCCAACAGCGTCATTGGCGTAAGCAACCTCCGCCTCTGTAATGTTTCTTGGATGGCAAATCGTGCTAACGACTCATATTTAGCGCACTGTTGTTGTCCACGCCGGCACCGATGATCTCGGCAAGGGTGACAACGAGGAGTCCCTCAAGACCGGTAACGCTGGTCCCCGACCTGCTTGCGGTATGTATCATCTTGACGCCTGATCTCAGAATGCTGTAAATGTCCAATTGCTGACGTAGGGTTGCTACACAGGTGTCATTGGTATCTCTGCCTAAGCTCGCCAAAGCACTGTAGCTATGCTTCACCTGAGCTTCTAGAAGATGGAAACAATCTGTATGGCAACTGAATGAAATTTGCCCCCGGCTAGGTAAAATATAGTAAACAAGTAAACAAACAAATAAAACAAGTTAAAAACAGCTGCATCTTGCTATGCCACTCGTATCTTGTAAAACAATTATATCCTTTGAATAGCTGTGATCGCTGGCCATGGAGGGGTAAAACCGGTGATTTATCGACGCAATTACGACTCATGGGTACTTGCCTCGTACTGCTGCTTCCATCCCATTTACGTGTAAGTACATCATCCGACCATCTACGGCGCGAACAGCTGCAGTGGTTCGTACTCGAAAACCACATGGTCCATCTCCGCGCACATTGTCCTGGACAGCGCCTTTCCATGCTGTGTAACACAATCTGGCCAGCCATTAGCTGATCTCACATTGCCCATAGCTCGGGATAGGCAATTTCACTGTGCCCCTCCTTCCCAGCGCCCCTTTGCGCCACCAGCTTCTTTGCCCCGCGCCTCCAATTGGGCTTAGTTGTCTATTTCGGGGCCCGCCATAGCACGCAAAAGGCCCCTGTCCCACAGTGAAGCCACCTGTAGCTTTGAAGGCCGCGGCCTAGGAGAGGTACTCGGCACTAAGAGAGACTTGACACCTTGCCCAAAGGCACACGACAAAGCTGCTTCCTCCATCAGCTCTGCAATCTGCTCTTTTGTTGCTCAATTCATCTTTCCAAGTTTATATTCGGCTTGGTAGACCCTCAAACAGCATCCTATCTCTTCTTCGGTCCTCCGCTCAGGTATGTTGGGATCCCCCAAGCCATGCCCGCAGTCATGCCACTGCCACTCCCAACTATTGTGCCTCTTTCTCCGTCTGGTGGTGACATAAGTTCTGTTCTGTTCTGCTAGAGTCTAATCCCTTTGGACGACTCAATTGCAGTTTACATGCAGGTTCACTTCAATTACTCCAAACTCCTGCCCTACTCACAGCAAATTGCCGCTTCATTTTCCCATTTGTGCTTGAAACATCTACTCCATACCAAAACCACAAAATCAAGCCACCTCTCTCCGAATCAGGCAACCCTAGCTAACCAAACACCCTACTCTAACTAGGTTTCCCCTTGTCTTCACCTTACTGGCCCATCATGTCGAAGACCTTTATCGGCAACGTCAAGAGTGTCTTGAGCGGCGACACCTTGATCCTGACCAGCCCCAACAACCCCACGGCCGAACGCACGTTCTCCCTGGCATATGTTTCGGCCCCTCACCTGAAGCGAGAGGGGGATGAGCCTTTTGCTTTCCAATCCCGCGAATATCTTCGAAATCTCGTTGTTGGCAAGCCTGTCCAATGCACAGTTCTCTACACCATTCCTACGACCGGTCGCGAGTTTGGTACTGCTCAGCTCAAAGATGGAACTCTCCTTCCCGATGAACTTATCAAGGCTGGTTGGCTAAAGGTCCGCGAGGATGCAGGCCGTAAGGAGGAATCGGAGGAGCTTCTCGATAGACTCGAGACGCTTCGATCCCTTGAATCTGAGGCCAAGTCCAACTCCAAGGGTCTGTGGTCAGGAGTCAACGGCACCATCGAAGTTCAGAACGACCTGGGCGGCCCTGAATTCCTGACACAGTGGAAAGGCAAGACCGTAGACGGCATTGTCGAGAGAGTGCTGAGTGGTGACCGATTGCTGGTTCGCTTGTTGCTTTCTGATAAGAAACACGTGCAGCCCCTGACTCTCCTTGCCGGTGTCCGAACTCCATCCACCGAGCGTACGCTTCCTTCTACCGGCGCCACACAGCCTGCCGAGGAGTATGGAAATGAGGCCAAAGCATTCGTCGAGACAAGGTTGCTCCAGCGCCAGGTCAAGGTTGAGATTGTTGGTGCCAGCGCCCAGGGACAGCTTATTGCCAATGTCATTCACCCCCGGGGCAACATTGCCGATTTTCTGCTCCAGGAGGGACTGGCCAGGTGCAATGACTTCCATTCTACCATGCTAGGAGAGAAGATGGCTCCTCTGAGAGCCGCCGAGAAGAAGGCTCAGTCTCAAAAGGTTCGCCTACACAAGCATCACGTTGTCAAGGCAGAGACTGGAGACAAGGAGATGACCGTCACCAAGATCATTGGTGCCGATACCATTCTGGTCAAGGCCAAGGGCGATAGTGCAGAGAAGAGGATCAGCTTCAGCAGCATCCGTGGGCCTCGAACCAACGAGCCCTCCGAGGGCCCCTTCAGAGACGAGGCAAAGGAATTCCTGAGATCAAAATTGATTGGAAAGCACGTCAAGGTCAGCGTTGACGGAACCAAGCCTCCTTCTGAAGGCTTCGAGGCCAGAGACGTGGCCACAGTTACCGAAAAGGGCAAAAACATTGGCCTTGCGCTGGTAGAAGCTGGCTGGGCTTCTGTCATCAGACACAGGAAAGATGATACCGATAGGGCTCCCAACTACGACGAGCTTCTTGCGGCTCAAGAGACGGCCAAGGAGGAGAAGAAGGGTATGTGGTCTGGGAAGCCTCAAAAGGCTAAGCAGTACCTGGATCTCTCAGACAACATTCAGAAGGCCAAGATTATGCTTGCTACACTACAGCGTCAGAAGAGGGTGCCTGCTATTGTTGACTTTTGCAAGGCCGGTTCTCGATTTACCATCTTGATTCCCCGCGAGAACGTCAAGCTGACCTTGGTTTTGGGTGGTATCCGCGCCCCAAGAGCCCCTCGCGCTGATGGACAAGGTGGCGAGCCTTTTGGCAAGGAGGCTCTCGACCTGGCCAACCGACGATGCAACCAGAGGGATTGTGAGGTGAATATTCATGATATGGACAAGGTCGGTGGATTCATCGGCGAACTGTACATTGGCCGTGAAAACTTTGCCAAGGTCCTCATTGAAGAGGGTTTGGCCTCAGTACACGCCTACTCTGCCGAGAAGTCAGGAAACTCTGTCGAGCTTTTCGCAGCCGAGAAGAAGGCAAAGGAGGCCAGAAATGGTCTGTGGCATGACTATGACCCTTCACAAGAGGAGGAGAATGCCGATGAGGGTGCCGAGGAGAACGGCACTCCTGAGGCGGAAGTCACATTCGACAAGAAGCCAGCTGATTACCGAGACGTGATCATTACCAACATTGATGGAAACGGAAGACTCAAGATTCAAGAGATTGGAAAGGGCACAGCAGCTTTGGAATCTCTGATGAGCGAGTTCCGAAAGTTCCACATCGATTCCAAGAACAGCAAGCCCCTTGCGGACGCTCCCAAGACTGGAGAATTCGTGTCTGCCAAGTTCTCAGCCGATGGCCAGTGGTACCGTGCCCGAGTCCGAGCCAATGACCGCACAGCCAAGCAGGCAGAGGTTGTATATGTAGACTACGGCAACAGCGAGAAGATTGCGTGGTCCAGCCTGCGGTCCTTGGACCAGACCAAGTTTGGTGTCCAGAAGCTCAAGGCTCAAGCCATCGATGCATCGCTGTCGTTTGTCCAGCTGCCAACCGCCGCGCACTACTTTGAGGATGCTGTTGGCTTGATCTATGAGCTGACTGAGGGTAAGCGCCTGGTTGGCAACTTTGATTTTGTCGACAGCAAGGAGAACATTAGCTACATCACGCTCTACGACACCAAGGGAGACGGCTCTCTGCCCGGACCCAATGACTCCATCAATAAGGAGATTGTAGCCAGCGGATACGGCATGGTGCCCAAGAAGCTCAAGGCTTGGGAGCGCAGCAAGGCTTTTGAGTCGTACCTGAAGCACCTGCGGGAAGTTGAGGGCCAGGCGAAGCAGGATAGGCAGGGTATGTGGGAGTATGGTGATATCACTGAGGATTAAATGTTCAACAAAAGATTAAAAAAAATTAGGGATAAAAGGGGGGTTGTTTCAATTGGGGATTTTTTTTCTTTTTATAGTTTATATGGCATAAAGCGAGAAACTGCATTCCCGACGATACGTCTGTACAAAGAAGATGATTTACCAGAAAAGTCTCTTATTATACCAACCCAGGAGGAGTTTCAAAAGTTTCAAAAGTTAAGAGAATCCTGGCGATCGAGTCAGTGGTGGGTCAAGGCTATCGGAAAGAGCCGAACAAGTGTGCATGATGATGATATCGTTGTTGATCCCCTGTCACGGAAAGAAACGATATCCTGACGAAGCCATTACAAGCGGACGCGGCGGAAAGGGTCCGGGAGGGAACTAAAAAACGGCATCCCTTTGGTCAGCTGCGTCTTATGATTTGTTGAAATAGAGTAAAAGGACGATAACACGCGTAGCCGGGCGAGGCCGGCTTCCGCCTACTTGAGCAATACATACATACAGTAATACATACGGCAATGCATGTCATGCTCATCACATCATGTTGTACTATTACAGCAGCCTTGCAGCCCCCCAGCTCCGAGGCGCAACGGGCGGCCCGCGAGGTTCCCGCGTATTCCACGGAGTTCCAGCAACGGCTGCCAATTGGCGCCTTGCAAAAAGGTTCCCAAAGTTCCGGCGGTAGGTGGAGCCGCACAGGAGGCGACCCGTTGAGAAGCCCCCGGTGACCGGTTCAACAACTTTTTTTTTTGGCCTACAGGAGACTACAGTGACTACAGTTGAGTCCAAGTACATGACCGGGAAAACAGCGGCCATGGCCCGCGAACCAACGGCGCATGCCACTGGCCGGCTCGCCTTGACTGGCTGGATCCAGACCCGGCTGCGCTGCTGGGAACTTTGGCGGAACTTTGCGTGACTAAGAACCACCTAAGGCAAGGCCGCAGGGCCACTATGACTTAATGGCACCCCCACTCCGTGCACCCAAGGGGGGCGAAACTGGCGCCGGAGCTGGCTGTAGCAACCAGATGCCAGCAGCGAGTACAAGTATCCAATATCATCTCGTCGCAGCCGGTTCTTCCAAACTCTCCCTCCCCAACACCACAATCGCCTCTGTCCTGTCGACTGCATTATTCTTCTACCGTTTTAATCACATCAACTCACATTCAATATGTCCAACTCTCTTGAACAGCTCAAGGCCACTGGCACCGTATGTTCTCTCCCCTTCTCTCTACCCCGCCAAAATCAAACCACAATACCTACCCCTCCAAACGAGGGGCGAGGCAGCTGTTGCGAGCTTCGGCGCCCGGCTCGGGTGTTGCTCTCAAAGTTGTCGACAAGCAATGCTGCTTCGTCCACGTTTGGGGGAACTGTAACAATTAGCATTGATACTCTTTGAGTAATTGCACGGAACATGTACTGACAATTGACTCTTTGGCGACAAACAGGTTGTCGTTTCTGACACTGGTAATTATTCCCGCATCATCCGCCCAACCGCGATCTGTTCCAGCTTAGCTAACACTTTCTCTCACAGGTGACTTTGCTGGTTAGTACTGCTCTCGACGATGAAATACCCGAGCATTTGCTTTTGCGAGCTGCTATATGCAATGCCCTTCTTTTCTCTTTCCTCCAAGGAATTGTTGCATCGGAACAAGAAGCTGACAAGATTGCCCTATTTCAATAGCCATTGGCAAGTACAAGCCTCAGGATGCCACCACCAACCCTTCTCTCATCCTGGCTGCCTCCAAGAAGCCCGAGTACGCCAAGTTGATAGACGCTGCCATCGCCTACGGCAAGAAGGAGGGTGGCGACATCGAGAGCCAGGTCGACCACGCTCTCGACCGCCTGCTGGTCGAGTTCGGCCGTGAGATTCTCTCCATCATCCCCGGCAAGGTCTCCACCGAGGTCGACGCTCGATTCTCCTTCGACACCAAGGAGTCCGTCAACAAGGCTCTGCACATCATCCAGGTAAGGCTCAACCTGCACTGTTCTCGATTAGAACCGGATAAGAAAACTAACTAATTTCTCTCTTCTCTGCGAAATATAGCTCTACAAGGAGCAGGGTATCCCCAAGGAGCGTATCCTGATCAAGATCGCCTCTACCTGGGAGGGCATCAAGGCCGCCGAGATCCTGCAGCGTGACCACGGCATCAACTGCAACCTGACCCTCATGTTCTCCCAGACCCAGGCCATCGCCGCCGCCGAGGCTGGCGCTTTCCTCATCTCTCCCTTCGTCGGCCGCATCCTTGACTGGTTCAAGGCCAGCACCAAGAAAGAGTACAAGAAGGAGGAGGACCCCGGCGTCGCCTCCGTCAAGAGCATCTACAACTACTACAAGAAGTTTGGCTACAAGACCATCGTCATGGGTGCTTCTTTCCGAAACACTGGCGAGATCACTGAGCTCGCTGGCTGCGACTACCTGACCATTTCCGTAAGAACACACAATCAACTCTCCTTCAGAGTTCTCTTATGACTAACATGACCCTCTTCTTTAGCCCAACCTGCTCGAGGAGCTCCTCAACTCCAACGAGGCCGTCCCCAAGAAGCTGGACGCTGCCGGCGCCTCTTCCCTGAACCTCGAGAAGAAGTCCTACATCAACGACGAGTCCCTCTTCCGATTCGACTTCAACGAGGACCAGATGGCCGTCGAGAAGCTGCGCGAGGGTATCAGCAAGTTTGCTGCCGATGCCGTCACCCTCAAGGACATCCTCAAGCAGAAGCTGTCCGCGTAAATAAGCTGCTAAGAGACAAAATTGGGATTTTTGGTTTGATTTTTGGGCTGTTGATAAGAACGTATGAAAAAGGTCTTTCAAAATGTGAATACGGAGACCCACGATTCCCTTTATGTTTGTTATCTATGCCTTTTGAAAAAGCTCTTGTAGAAATTTAGCAAATGGAAAAAAAACTGGGAAAACTTGTTGATGCTTGATGAAACGTGTTACAAATGGTATTAGCTTATATCATACATTGTTTATCATATTATACAAGAGCTATGTATATCCGCTGCTTTGATATTCCCTAAATACAACGCAATGTGATATCTAAATCTGGCCATCAGCTTTCATAAATGCAAGTTAGGAAGAAAGAACAAAACGCCGATAATGCTGCCGTTGCTGTTGCTGAATCCAAGGTCCAGACCCAGATCCAGATCTCGTATTCCCCCATCCCTAGTCCCGAGTATATGTAAGTTCCAACCTGGCAAGAGATGACAAGTCCATAACCAAAGAACCCTCTTTTTCGTGAATCCACAACAGCATTTTGGATCCTAATCGCCCCTTGAAACAATATTATAGCACTTCTCTTTGATAAAAGCTTAAGAAAAAGAATAAAACAAGGAAATTCCGCTTCAAGGCTCCTTGCAATGCACCTGCACAATCGTATGCGTAAACCCCCTTTTGGACCCTTCCTTGCCCTCCACCACCAACGCCGTCAGAGCACCTCCCCGAACGCAGCCCGAGTCGAGCCCAATCGAGTACTTGTCCTCGCGGAAGCCCCTCTTGGCGTCGTGCCCGTAGACGACGGTGTAGCGGTGGGATTTCTTGAGGCGCTTCTGGAAATGGTTCCATGCGTTGGACCACTTTTCGCCGTCGCGGCCTTCGATGGGGATGATTGTGTCGCGGTCTGTGTAGGCGTCCTTTTGCTGGATGGATTCGAGGGTTTCGCCTTCTTCCTCTTCTTCGGGAGGCGGTGCTGCTTCGTTGTTGCTGGCTTCTTCCTCGTCGTCGTCGTCGTCGCTGCGACTTGACTTTCTGCTGCCCTTGCCACGCAGCTTTTCGCGAGGGTAGACCAAGGTGCGCATGTTCATGACGGCCCACGGGTCTTGCAGTTCGGGCTTGACGCCCGGGACGAGACCCGCGTGGACGATAAACATGTTGAGCGGCTCGACGGCGAGGATGACGGGCAGCTTGGAGAGCCACTCGACGTGTTCCTTCTTCAGCTTGCGGCCCGTGGCGAGGAACTCCTTCTGGCCGCGGCGGTCTTCGTCGTGCAGCGATGCGAGGTCCTTGCTGACGCCGCTGAGGTTCTCGGCCTCTGCGAGGGAGAGCAGGATGCGGTCTTCGTGGTTGCCGCGGACAGCGCTGGCGTTGAGGCTCATGAGGCGGGAGATGACGCCCGCCGAGTCAGGGCCCTTGTTGATCATGTCGCCGACGGCAATGAGGTGGTCCTTGCTGGTGTTGAAGTCGACTTTCTTGAGGAGTGTTTCGAGGGAGGCGTCCATGCCGTGGATGTCGCCAACGATGACGAGGCGCCGCTTGTTTTCAAAGGTAGGGACGAATTCATCAGACAAGTTGGCCATGAGCGTGAGGCCGTCCATGCTGGGACGACGGAAGGTGCCATAGGTCATCGGCCGGTCGGCGTCGGTGATTTCGACGTGGTGGACAGGCCGTGGTGGCAGGGGAGGTGGGGATTTGCTGTTGTCGTCCTTGGATTCGCGGATAAAGGACATGTTGTAGAGTCGCGTGACGCAGAGGAAGGCGCTGGCGATGAAGAAGAAGACGGCGGCGATGATGAGGATTCGCCGGCGTTGCTGTGGTTGCGCCATGGCGGGCGGGTGTGGCGATTGTGGCCCGTTCCCGTTGGCTTGTTTTTGGGGTATGTTTTCTACGCCTTGTACTAGAGCTGTTTCGGCACAGTGATGATATATGAGAGAAAGTATTGTTCACCGAGGAACTGAAGCCATGAGGCAGTATACAGGTGGTACGGCTGGAGTAAAGGGAGGGTATAGTGAAGCGGCAACGAGTGTCGAGGAGAGACACGGCTGATGTTGTTGAAGGGAGGGAAAAGTGCCGACTTGGAAAGATAAAGAAAAAGAAAAAGGATAAACAGGCAATACTACTAGCTCGAGGTATTAACAGCTATCAGCCATCTATTAAAGGGGAAGCTTCTTTTATTTTGGTTTCTTCCACCTTCAGCCTGGTCACGTTAGCGAATTCTATTTTAGTCCAAATATACACACAAAGTGTAACTACATTACGCGTCGCCTTCCTGCAGGGTTTGCCTTGCATCTGTCACAAAAAGGAAAGCAACATCCCCCATACTAATCTATAGTGCCTATCTGCTGTACATGCATGGTCTGTCTGTTGGCTAACAGGACAAAACTGCCGTCTAAGCCGTCTAGGCGCCGCAACGGGGATGTTTTGGGCAGGTTTGATGACGACAACGGCGGGAATGCCAAGACCCTAAGGCCTGTTCTGGGAACTTGTCTCTCGAGCTCTTGGGGTTTATCAGTCTGGGCAGCTAGGCTAATAAGGGCGAGTCAGGGCCAGGGGGGAGGTGGGAGGTGGGAAGCGGGTACGACTATTGGAGTTGGAAGTGCAGGGGATCATGGTGGTTTGTTGTTGGGGCTGGTATGGAGCGCGCTGCGATATTGTTTGCCGTCTGCTCCGTATATGTATTTGAGCTGAAGATGGATAATAATAATAGGCTGCTGATTAAGGTAGCTGATTGATGTTGTTGATCTTGGCCGATAACTCCAGAGTATGTAGGGCTGTGAAGAGCCGTATTTTTGTCTCCCTTTTTTTTTCCCTTTTTTTCGTGTTGAAATACGCGTGTTTGATGGCTTTAACTAGTGCGCTGTTCTGAACGGATATCGGCATCTGGGGACACACGTGGGACGGCGGTTGGCGGGCGCCGATCCGAGCGCAGCATTACATGGAATTGTCTGGACTTTTACTGTAATTGCAGGCTGGTTTTGAGATGTGATCAAGGTCTTTGAACACGATTGATGCTTAGAGATTATATACTAGTAGATATATAAGGAGAAATGAGAAGGGGATGATGTTTGTAGATGTTCAAGTTTTCATTGTTTGTCCGGCAACCCTTCTTAAGTACCTATTCAATTGTTTGAGTTCAAGTTATATCCACTAGACATGTTCTTAGAAAACTTGCACTCAGCTGGATAATTGAGACAGCAAAATATAAAGGGGTTCTTGGCACAATATATCGTAACTTCAAATGACAGAGGCTTGTTTTCGTGAGTAATCATTTTTCCGAAACTCAGATAACGAAATACACATTTTCATATCAAGGTGCAGGTTAAGTCTCCGACCCTCGCCAGCTCCACTTGTTCATTTCAGACCTCTTAAAAGAACTTAGGCCCACCTTCCAAGATGAAAAGTAAACTCGGCAACTGTTCGCAAGCCAAGCTAGTCCAACTTTGATATGCCGGTGGCGAGGCATGCTAAAGTATCGATAAGCGTAAACGATACGGCATCTGGGGAGGTTCGAAGAGGCCACATTCTGATATAAACCGTGAGCGTTGCTCAGATGATATTATGCGAGCTCAGAATGGCTGCTTTGTGGCCTACAATTCATCAAGGTAGAGCAAAAGGGGACAAGCTGCAATCCGACTCTCTTTACGCTACAGATCGATGCCATACAAATTTAGCAGTTTACTATCCCTGAAAGCTATTTTCTTGAGCAGTGTGCGCCGGTTGCCAAAGTTGATGTGAGAAGGTCTTTTGTTGCTAATATACATATACTATACAGGGCTCCATCAATGCCCAACCTGCCTTATGATACAAGCACAAGTCTATACCCAAGCATAAACTCGTCCGGAGAGCGTGTCTCATCCTCTTCCAAAGGAAGAAGAACAGCTGAGCCCAGCTGCCTCAAATTCTATCCACGTGGGAAAATGCTCAAATCCATTTTGTAAGCATCGAAGACGAGACTCAATGGTGTCAAGTCTAGTCTTTTCCGCTTCCATTTCAACGCCATAACGCCATGCCATGAACCATAATCGCTTTTACTTGCTTTATCTCCTGCCCGTTCTTCTCCTCCCACTTTATTTATTGTTCTGAGCCTGCTGCTGCTGCTCCAATCGGTACTTTTCATTCTCAATCTCCCTCCAGTCCTTGGGAATCGGCTCGTTGCCATCCGTCTCCTTGACGCCGCCGCCAAACGCAGATTTGCCCGCGTACAGCTGGTAGCTTTTCCCGTCAGCGGATTCCACATTGCGATATTCGACCGGCACGTGTCCGCGGAAGCGCTTGCGCATGTCGACCAGGCCGCGTTTGCATTCGCCGTATCCCCGCTTGAGCTGCTGGCACTTGGTTGGGAGCGTCGAGTAGAGGGGGTCGCGGAGGCAGTCGGTGGGCTTGTTGCGGTAGACCATGATGCAGTCTGATTCCTGGAGGCATTGAGCGAGGGCGTCTCCTATGATGCACCATTAGCAATTTTCATCTCTTCTTTTCTTCTCCTTAGTTTTATAAGAGAGGGCAAGAATCTCGTCCGGGTTGATTGGTGAGGGGCAAACATACGCAATTCTTGACACGACGGCATGTTGGATATTGTACGAGTGCAGTGTATATGCACAGAATGTAGTGAGCTATCGCGGCCTTGTCTCGAGCCTCAAGTTGGCGGTGGCTTTTGGGCTTCTGATGCTGCCTTTTTGGAAAAGTCGTTCGATTGAGCTTCTAAAGATTGACTGGTGATTGGTGGGCTGAGGATGGCGCTAGGATCGAGGCTCTGATTTGACCAGTTTCTGGCGCCCCACTGCCACGATCGGTTGCATTATTAATGAGACGGGATATGCAGCCGCTACTTTAAACACTCCAACTCTATACCTAGGTACCTATTATAACAGTTTGTAAAAATGTATTATAAGACAAAAGTACTGTAATTAGAAAGCTGTAATACACATACTGTAGGTATACTGCGATCTTAGAAGAATCAGAGGATGGGAGGCTGGCTTTTCCAGACATTTGGAGTTGTAAAACGATTGGCAGACAGGCAAGGACCACTTGTGTCACAGCTTTTTAAATTCACCTCAAGGCTTACAGCCCTCCATCGTAGCTAGGCATTTGAGGGGATCGGAGGTGACCGCAACTGTGCGCTCTGCGAGTTCACAGCATTTGGAAGCCACACTTTGCGGCTCTTAACTCCACAGCATTTTGCCTTCTCCCTAACTCTAACAACCACCCCTGTATATTTGCGCTCTGTAGACGAAAAATATACTACGCCTGATCTGGCCGTGTACTCTGTGGTGATGCTTTACTGTACCATCATATTACACCTGGCTGTGCGTGTAATGGCGAGAGCTTCTAGTCAGAAATGGGTATTCATACATGAAAACTCATGGATGCTGTAAACTTCGCAGTCTTGGCCAGGACAATATTAGGATGCTACTATTCCACAGGCAGTTAATGACGGCCCAAGCGCCCACTCCTAAAGTTTTTATACGAGTTTTTATATTCTTTATAATTTTTATATGAAATATAGATATCTTTCATACTGCGCAACGCTATGAATTTGCAACCCCGCTGTCGAGTCCCATGTCGCCGCTCCACTTCACAGCATTCTTCATCTAGCTCTATTCCCTTAACCTTCGATTTACACTCGTTCATCTGTCTAATACGGCGAAAACTTTCAGTAAGAAATGGTTGTACGAAGTAACTACATCTTGTAAACGCCATGGCCTGTCCAAGACATCATCAGCATGCCACTATTATCCCATGTTTCAATGACGGCCCAAGTGCCTCCGAGTAATGAACAACAAATCACATGAAGCACCAACGACTTGCCAACTCACACTTTGACGCTACACATGCAAATCATGTCGACTCCTCTGCGTACAAACTCCATGATTGGTCCATCTCATCTCGCCGCTCGCCTGCCCCGGGTTTTCTCCAGGGTAAGCCGCCAATTGGGCCACTGGCGCGCCGCCATCGAGGGCCCACCTGACCCTTTGGGGAGATTTACATGTGACATCACAGCGATCCCCTTAGACTAAGATCCTGGAGCATATGTGCCATGCTTTTTCCAATCTCGCTTCTTCTGCTTTTTCCTTCTTCACAATTTTTCGTTGTGAACACGGGATCAATAATGGAACAATCCCCATAGCAAGAAACCTCGCTTCTCCCGTCGCAATGCCTCTCCCATTCATCGGTAGGCTGCACGCGTATGTATATGTTGCCGTGTAATCGGACTACATCATCACCGCCACTTTGCTAATTCGCCATGGCCTTTTACAGCACCGAGTACATTTCGATTGTTGTTTCTTTCTTTCTTGTCAGCCTCGAGGCGATCATCCGAGTCTTTACTCTAGCATTGCGTTAGTACGGCCCTGCGAGACGGACGACAAACGCAACCTGCTGACCCCCTTTATACGCAACATCTAGCCTCGTTTCTCGTCAACTTCCTCTATCGAGCCTCGCGGCAACTCTTCAAAATATTCTCTTCGCCGGCGCAGCAGAAAGCCGAAGATAAGAAAAAAAGTTAGTCGTATAGCGAATACCCTCCAGATAAGCATCGTTCCCTAAACTTACACACTCCTTTCTCATCAGCCATTTCCACGTCCGTGCGCGATGCGTCCGACTTTGTCGAGCTCTGTCGATTATGGGGATACGAAGCAGAAGAGCACATAGTCCAGACAAAGGATGGCTATCTGCTTGGCCTGCACCGTCTGCAGTGGCGACGAGGCGAAGAGCATCTCAGAGTCAACTGCGGGCCCAAGAGCACCAAGAAGCGAGTCGTCTATATGCACCACGGCCTGCTCATGAATTCCGAGGTCTGGGTCTGTTTGACGGATGAGCAGAGATGCTTGCCGTTTGAGCTCGTGGAAAGGGGATTTGATGTTTGGGTGAGTAGCAGTACATATTCATACTGAGCGAAGAACGTTGCTAACCAGCCCAGTTTGGAAACAACCGCGGCAATAAATACTCCAAGAAGTCCATCTACAGCTCGCCTACGTCGGTCAAATTTTGGGATTTTTCTATTGACGAATTTGCCTTCTACGACATCCCAAACAGCATCGAGTACATCCTCGAAACCACAGGACAGGAGAGCCTGTCGTATATTGGCTTCTCGCAAGGCACCGCTCAGGCATTCGCCACTCTGGCCATCCATCCCAAGCTGAACCACCAGGTCAATGTTTTCATTGCACTTGCCCCCGCCATGGCTCCCGCCGGACTGTCAAATGGCGTCGTCGACTCGCTCGTCAAGGCCTCCCCGTCGGTCCTGTATCTCATGTTCGGCAGACGATCTATTCTCAGCTCCGCTACCATGTGGGAGACGCTCATATACCCGCCTCTGTTCTCCCGGCTCATCGACATGGGCTTGTCATTCCTATTCGGATGGAAGACCAAAAACATCTCCGCGAGCCAGAAGCTTGCCGCCTACCCTCACCTTTACTCCTTCACGAGCACAAAGAGTGTTGTCCATTGGTTCCAGATTATTCGCAACAAATGCTTCCAGATGTACGACGACGACGTCTACCAGCCCATGAGCGTCGCTTCCTCGAGCAAATACTCAAAAGTCGCCAAGTATCCGACCCGCAACATCAAAACGCCCGTTGTCCTCGTTTACGGCGGCAGCGATTCCCTCGTTGACATCAAATCCATGTTGAAAGAGCTGCCGCGACAGACCGTTGCGACTGAGATTCCTCACTATGAACATCTCGATTTCCTCTGGGCTCGCGATGTAGACACCCAAGTGTTCCAGCACGTATTCGACGCCTTGAACAGCTTCACCGACGCAGAGCACACCGAGGAAGAGTACGACAGGTATCATTTCGTCCGACACGAAAGCCTCGCTGGATCGGCCTACGCGCCGTCCCATCTGCGCGGGGGTAGCGAGAGCGACGTTTCTATTACTGCGTCTTCAGGAGAAGATGCCAAGAGCCATCAGCACCGCGCGCGGGAACAGCGCGTGCAGATTGCGTCTGAGAAAGAAGCAGGAAAGAAAGCTGAGGAACTCCAGCAGCCTGTTGAGAAGTTGAAGGGGGTTGGTGTTCGGAGAGGGAGCGGCCTCACAAACGGCGAAATCGTCGAAATTAAGCGGGATGAGTGAGCGCCGATACGATATACCTTCTTCTTCTCCTCCTCCTTCTTCTTCTTCTTCTCAAGCCATGACAGCGCTGCAATAGCCTCCTTTTGTTTATTTATTTATTTGCATATTTTGAAACTCTGCATGAGTTGATATCCCAGGTGCAATCTGATCGAGAATTGCATTCGAATGTCTGTTCATAACCGCACCACTTGAAGTATACCTATCTGTAGCAATAATAGAAATTATATCCCATTGATCATACATACCATCTTCTTTGATGACAACACATCATGAGTGTGTACTACTAGCAATATGTACGGTCCGTTCAGAAAAAGTGCAATCAATTTAACGCTAGCCTTTGCTCAACAGCATCGCTACGAATGTCCCATCATACATGGGAGCCTAATAGCCTGCATGGCTATAATAATAATAATAATAAAACCATTATTTTCAGCCTTCTTGTTCCAACTCTTTCTTGTGCGGGCCACGCTCCACGGCTCAAATTCTTAAGACGTCAGATGCCTCGAATATAGGAGGCTAATTAAAAGAAGTAGAAGAAAAGAAAAGGGTATATCGACATGGGTCAAACCATATCTGTTCTAAACAGTGCATCGATTCGATGCAAATGGACAATTCAATGTCAAGCAAAGATGCAGAGCATCCAAACCATGGCTGGTTTCCCATGAATAAAAGCATTGCATACAACGCTGAGTTAATGCCAACTTAACTTGTGGAATGGATGTGATGGCTGAGATCTCTTACGCAAGATAGATAGATGCAAGGAAAGGTTAGAGTTACGGAAAAAAGCATCTAGGGGCAGGAGAAAAGGGGTATGCACGTCAAATCGTAACGCCGCCTAGAGGGAGGATCTTGCTTCTGTCTCCGAGAAATTGGGCTCGGTAGTCAATGATGCCTTGGCTGATAGTTTGGAAGTCTTTGACCTTGCGGTTGCGAAAGTCTGTCAAGAGATTGCGCAGCCCGTTGATATACTGCTGTTTCTCTTGCTCCCCAAACTCCTCGTGCGCGCCGAGCTGGAGTAGGATTTGATCATCTAGTTCATTGTTTTCAGTCAGCGTTCTTCACACAACGGCTCGCGAGAGTAGAAGCGCCTAGCTCCGAGATATACATACCCGGAGCTTGCATATTCTCGAAATGTTGATACACGCATTCGCTACCCCTTGGACAGCTTTGATTGGCTAACTCATCCGGGCATACTTCCTGCTTCACGTCTATTCTATTGCTGTAGGTTAAAGAGCGAAGGCCACCGGATATGGACTGAGAATACTCGGGATGAAAGCGATATGCGTGAAAGTATCGAAGGGGCGACTCATACGGCACAAAGGCGGTCCTCGGAGCATCAGAGGCCGGTGTCGCCGGTGCCTCACTTACTGGGTCAGCCTGGTCACCTATTAGATATGTTGATCGGCCATCAAAGTGCAGGAGAACGTCTACTTCTCTTCCGCTTTCAGAAGCTATATCCGGATGCACGGTAGAGATCTGCTCTCCTGCGATGA